GCTACGTTACAACTCAAACTCAAAGACAACAGCAGGGAGCGTTTCATGGCCAGAAACTGGTTCCATTCCACTCAAGCCAACCTCAGCTTCAAAGAAGCCAGATGCCAATGACTCTCACCAACCAAACCCAGACAGGACAATTCTCCTGTTATGTGACAGGGTCACAGAACTAGAAAAACACAGAAAGCTACAATTCTTCAGTGAGATCCATATTGATGCTCTCCAAAGGTGCAGTTCCAAGTAACCATCAATTTATACCCACATGCCATTTAAAACAACCCTTCCAGACAAAGGATATATAAGATCTGTTGCTAAAAAAAGAAAAAAAAATTTTTTTTTTGCTCAGTTTCCATATGATTTCTAATGGCTCTATTGTAAAACTGCTACTTAGCTCAGGATCCAGGAGATTTTGAAGACAGGGGAGGTGGGGCTGGTCTGCTTGAAAGCAGCTCTGCAAAGAAGGAGCTGGAAGTGCTGGTGGGCAACAGGTTCACCAGAAGCCAGCAATGGGCCCTTATGGTCAAGAAGGCCAATGGTCTCCTGGGGTGCATGAAGAAGAATGTGGCCAGCAGGTTGAGGGAAATTCTCCTCTCCTTCCCCTTTGCCCTGGTGAGGCCACCTCTGGAGTACTGGGCCCAGTGCTGGGCTCCCCAGTTCCAGAGAGGTCAGGAGCTACAGGAGGGAGTCCAGTGGAGGCTGCAAAGCTGCTGAGGGGCCTGGAGCATCTCTGTGCCAGGACAGGCTGAGAGCCCTGGGGCTGCTGAGCTGCAGAAGAGAAGCCTCAGAGGGGATCTGTTCAATGATGGTCAAGAGATAAAGGGCCCCAGGGGGCAAGAGGCTGGGGCCAGACTCCTGTCAGTGGTGCCCAGCGACAGGACAAGGGGCAACGGGCACCAATTCCGCCTGAGCAGGAGGAGAAACTTCTTTGGGGGGAGGGTGGCCGAGCCTGGAGCAGGCTGCCCAGAGAGGCTGTGGAGTCTCCTGCTCTGGAGAGATTCCAAACCCACCTGGCTGTGATCCTGGGCACCCTGCTGTGGGTGACCTGCTGGAGCAGGGGGGCTGAAGGAGATGAGAGGTCGCTTCCAACCCCACCATGCTGGGACTCTGTTATATCATACTGTATGGATTGTGTGGGTTAAGGTAATCTCATCTGTACAGAATGCAGATGATCACTAACTTGCATAGAAACCAGGACCTTGCCAGCATGTCTCCTTCCCTTCTACACTCCAAGTATTTACTTTAATCCCACATCTTCTTTATCTCTTCATCAGTTATTAATCCATGAGGAAAAACCCTCACTGCCCTACCTGTCACAATGTTGCCTGTTTATGTCAGCAGACCCTGAGTTGGAAGTTTGTTAAGAACTCCCAGGAAATCTAAGACATTAAATCAGATGACTCACCCTCATGCCCCGGCTTACTGACTCCTTCTAGATCTCTTTTTGAAGGACACTTTCCTTCTGCAAAAACTTGTGTTGATTGATTGTTTCCATTGTGTGATATCCATCTGCATGTGAGCTGACTCCATCCACCACTGCTTGTTCTCCACCAGCCTGCCTGGCAGGGAAGTGAGATTTCTTCCTCTATACATAACGGGGCCTTTCCTGGAGCCTTTTCCAAAGGCTGGGCCACATTTGTAGCTTTCTGTTGGCATGGCACTGTGGTGAGTTTTAGCATAAGATTTACAGACTGTTGTTTATATTTAAGCAGTTTCATTTTTGAATTTATATCAGAGCTCTTAGAATTATAGACTGGTTTCGGTTGGAAGGGAACTTCCAAGGTCATCTAGTCCAATCTCCTTGCACTGAGCAGGGACATCTGCAACTAGAGCAGGTTGCTCAGAGCCCTGGCCAACCTCCCCTGGAATGGTTCCAGGGATGGGGCAGCGACCACCTCTCAGGGCAGCCTGGGCCAGGGGCTCACCACCCTCAGCACCCAAAAATTTCTTCCTTCTATGTAATCTGAATCTCCCCTCTTGGAGGGAGGACACCCTTTGTCCTGTCCCAACAGGCCCTGCTCAGAAGTCCCCCCTCCAGCTTTCTGAGAGGCCCATGGAAGTCCTGTCAGGCCCCCAGGGGGTCTCCCCAGCTGGAGCCTTCTCCTCTGCAGGCTGCCCAAGCCCAACTCTCTCCTGCTGGGCTCCCAGTAGAGGGGTTCCCCCCTCGGCTCATTGCTGGGGCTCCTCTGGCCCTGCTCCAGCAGGTCCCTGTCTCTGCTGTGCTGAGGACTCCAGAGCTGCCCCAGCACTGCAGGGGGGTCTCCCCAGAGCGGGGCAGAGGGGCAGGATCCCCTCCCTGCCCTGCTGCCCACTCTGCTGGGGGGCAGCCCAGGCTGCTGGGGGCTTCTGGGCTGCGAGCACACGGGGCCAGGTCCTGGCCAGCTCCTCACCCACAGCACCCCCATGGCCTTCTCCCCAGAAGGATCATCCCCCAGCCTGGGCTGGGACTGGGGGTTGCCCCAATCCATGTTCAGGACCTTGCCCTTGGCCACGTTGAACCCCATGAGGTTCACCTGGGTTCACATCTCCAGCTTGTCCAGGTCCATCTGGATGGATCCCATCCCTCACACGTCAGCCTCACCACTCAGCCTGGTGTCATCCTGGGTGAATGCAGTTGGAGCCCAGTGATGCATTACACTTGAGGACTTCCCCCACCTCTTCTAAAACACACTCAGTAGCCCGTTCAGTCTGAGACCTTGCCCCTGCACTACCATCTCCCTTGTTCCAAAGCAGGACCTTGTCACATGGACATGTGGGTGCGCTCCCACGTTTTTGCTCGTGAACAACAGTGCGAACCCCCTGACTTTACTGTTCTTCATTAAGAACACTGTTGTTTACCAGACGAGAAAATTCAACCATAAATATGTGAGAAAGATGCAGGAAAAGAACCCTGAAAGTTGTCCTTTTCTTTCCAAGTAGTTTGGCTTGATTGAAGTACTTGCAACTTAGGTTTTCCATAAACCACAATTATTTATATAGAAGAACAGCCTGCACAGAGAGGTGTCTTTATTAAAAAAAAAAAAAAAGGGAAAAAATTTATGTTGAAAAAAGCTTCAAAACAAGTTCTACAAAAGACAGGACCGGACAATAGGGAGGCCAAGAGCTGGGTAAAGAAACCACTGCCTATGAGCAGCAGCTTTAGCAGATGGACCCCATGGATGTAGGACAACTACAGACAACAGCACACAGGCAGAGGAATGGCACCAGCATGACTTTCCTTTCCACTGTTGTATTTTGTAAGTCTTTCAAAAAGGAGCCAACATTTTTTACTGGGATGTTTTATTGCACCTTCGAAGAGCCCACAGTCCTGGGGAACCCGCAGGTTTCTCATGTCCCCGTACAAAGAGCCCACAGCATCCAAAAGATGTGTTTACGGAAACTCCAAGAGATGAAGGGGCTGCCTAGGTGACTAGGTGCTGAGTTTGAGACACACAAAACTCAGCCAGACATGCAGAGGGAACGAGAATCCCTCTGCTGGGGTTATGTTACAACGCCCTGAGACGAGCGTAGCCACAACCCACCAGAGCCTGTCATCATCCTACCTGGGCCACCTCCCTGTTTTTATGCTAGTTCAAATGTCCTTTTGGTTTGTTGTTGTGAACGTGTTAAAATTTACTTCTGGCACTGCTTCCAAGTAAGAGCATTAACTGCTGACAGCCAACCATGCATGCAAGTATGGAATTATCTTATGTAAGCATCAATTAATAACTTTATCTCCAGCATTAGAAGGAAATACTTTAGAACCATTTCCATGTACTGAACATTTCATCAGCACCAAAATTTGTGGTTTACTGATAGAAAAGCACAAGCACACATACAGGCAGGGCAAAGACAGGGCTGCTGCCTCCAGGACTGTCAACCCAGATCTGATTCAGCCTTCCAGGAAGTCAGACATTTGACATAGCACTGGATTTGTAACACGGGCTGCGATTCACTCTAAGAGGCAAACACATTTTGCCCAAGGAGGGGTTAACTTAGTCAAGATAGAATGGAATTACAGGTCACAATCCCTTGGAGGCCTCGTTTGGTCCTCTCATTTTCCACCTCAGTGACCTGCTTTTCAGATCAATAGATTGCTTTTTTTTTTCTCCTGGTATGTAAAAGCACGCTGATAATACAGGGATTTGTTATAATACAGTGATAGTTCCTCAATAAAGCAATTTAAAACACAAATTACAGGGTTCTAAGTCACCATGCCTAATGGCATCAGCTGGAAAGAGTCTGCAGATAGCAAATTTCAATGAACTTTGAAAATGTCAATATATGAAACGCAACTGCATATAGTGTGAACTAGGTTTAAATAACCTATTTTACAGATTTTACAATTTATCTGCAGCTACCTAAGTTACAGGACAAATGTTCCTTTAAGTAATTCCAGGATGATATTAAAAGAAAAAATCCAACCTGTGGGCAATCACATTTGAACTTTTTAAGTATGTAATTTCCTATGAGTTCAAGTATCTGCTCTTGGCTGCACTTGGCCAGCTGCCACATGAGAGAACAGTGATGATCACTTGGCAGTCTCTAAAATTCAAAGATTGAAACCAAGATACTTAACTATTTAATGATTATACTGTCATTAATCATAGCATTAAAAAAATGTTCTGATCAGATAATTGGATACAAAAGAAAGGATTATGGGAGATGCTGCTGAAGAACTAAAGCTTCAATGTACTTAAGGTTGACTACAAACCAAAAATACAGGTCTCTCTTTACTTGAGGTCTTTATTCAAGGAACTCAATTCCTTTATCCAAGTGTATTTTTCAGAAGAAAAAAAGAATTAAAAACCAAAGGTGACAACTGAGCTTTGGGGCTTGATAAACCGTACAAAGTATCTTATACTCTCTTGTGGGATCTGTCTGCTGCCCTGCACTCTCACCCGTTGTAGGATACTGAAAAGTCAACGCTCCTGTCACAAAGACACCCAAGATTTTCTATTTGACTCATTTTACTTTCTGGATTTCCCCCTTCCCAGCTCACGTAGATAGATCAGCTTCCTTACCTTCATAATGTTTACTAAGTCAGTTTGATAATAGCGATCTTGGTGTGCATTAGCAGCTGCTAAAGTGAGAAGATAATCATTCCTCGCGTGGATAGCCTTGGAATTGCACTCGGATCGTCGTGCTTTTAACTACAACAAGAAATGGAAGTTAAAAGACAGGTACTAATGAGAAGTTAATTGACCAAATGTATTAATAATGAATTAACATATAGTTGTATGTATTAATATAGTCAAAACTTCAAGGGATTAATAGCTTAAGAGTTTTGTTAATGGTAAGAGGATTTTTCTCCCACGCCGTTGTAATTTCATGTGCTGCCCTCAAAGAACAGTTAGAACTCACACTAGAAAAAACTGCCATGTAAACTTGGTAATTCTTGAATTCTTGCCCCTCAAATCCTGGGTTCAGTTTTGGGCCCCTCACTCTAAGAAGGACCTTGAGGGGCTGGAACATGGCCAGAGCAGGTCCTTCTGGCTCTCCACAACTCCCTGAAAGGAGGATGGAGCCAGGTGGGGATTGGTCTCTTCTCCCAAGGAACAAGGGACAGGACAACAGGAAACAGCCTCAGGTTTACCCAAGGGAGGTTTAAGTTGGGCATGAGGAACAATTCCTCCCTCTCAAGCATTGTCTAGGACTGTGCCAAGCTGCCCAGGGCAGTGGTGGAGTCCACATCCCTGGAGGGGTTTCCAAGCTGTGGAGATATAGTGCTGAAGGACATGGGTTAGTGGGGACCTGGGTTAACAGTTGGATTTAATGCTTTTAAAGTTCTTTTCCCATCAAAATGATTCTATCATTCTGCACTCTGCTCAATCTGCCTTCTGAACTGTCAGTCATCTCTGGATTCCAGACAACTTCGGTCATATTCCTCATGGCATTAGCTGCAAAGCTTGATTATAAGAAACAAAGTTTTTTACACTCACCTTTACACTTGCTTTCTGCAAGCTTATTCTTGACTGAAAAAGACTAAGTTTGGACCTGAAACAAAAATTCAAAGAAGACATTACTGTCTTATACCACTTCTACAAAAGTACAGGATAAACAAGCCACCAACCTTCACTTCTTCAAAATTTTATTCTAAATAAATTTTTATGCCTGAATTTTTATTTTTATCATTTTAAGTGATTTTAAGTGAATTACAACAAATGCTGAGCTACATCAACAGTACCTTCACTGCATATTCTGAAATCTTTTGCACAGCTTACCCCAATTTTGGAACAAAATTTAAAGACATCATGAAAGGTGATCATGAAAGGTGATGGGGTGGTGGCTGCAACACAAGTTATTTTGGTGTTTGATGGATATTGAGTTAGTCCTTGAAACGCAAAATGCTATAAATTTGAACAATTGGTCGTCTGAAGGAGTATTAATGCAAAATTATTAGTAATTATATTCCAGGTAGCTGGAGGAGTATCCTTGTACACACACCTATTTTTAAAAGCAGAATTGGTCTGATTGTCATGTTCAGATTAATAAAACTGAAATTTGTGAAGTACTTCATTAACTATTTGAAAGACGGTGGTTCATGAAGTGAGTAGGAAAACAGAATTAAGCAAATAGCTATTTTAATCTGGTCAATACTGCAGTACAAATCTTGCTCCAAATTCCCAAGCTCATTTGGGTTTTTTTTGGTTGTTTGTCTGGTTTTCCTTTCTTCAAGTATTATAGGTAATCCTTAATTTCTCCTTTTCATCATCCAGCCCTCATAAAGTGAAAGACAGATATATTCTCTAATGAAACCATACTTTCTTTTCATACCCCAAGAACAATTCTGAGTAATTTATAAATTAATAAATAAATAATTTTGTAAAAAAACAGGGTGGGGTAAGCTCCAATAAGAGAGGTCAAACTTCAGCCTGAAAACATGAGCTGCTTGCTTTCCTGTAAGGAAGGAAATCAACCTCTTTAGGATGTCATAAACCCTAAAGCCTCAAAAATGCATCTTCAGAAATGGAAAACAGTGTCCCATCCCCTCTCCCCCTCCAAACAGACTGATACCAAATTTGAGATCTGGGGAGAGAAAAGGAACGAAGCAGCTTTTAATATCAAAATGAGTGCCACTGTCCTTAGAAAATGTCAAATGAAAGCAGTTCCTTTAACTTCCTTCCTAAAGAAACCAGCCTATAGAAGTTACACTTTACTATCAGGGTAGTAGCATGCTTGAAATGGTTACAAAAATGTATATAAGCAAAATGAAGGAAAAATTGGCACAAGCTCACTGAAAGCTATTCTCTTCCTGCTAAAATAATACCAAGTGTAAAAATCTAATAGAAGTACAAATCTGCTTTATACATGGACAATTATTTATCCATATGCTATTACAAAAACATACTTGGCCTCAATATCAGCTTTCTCCCGCACGGCCTGAGCCATCTGTTCAGTCTCAAAATATTTCTTTTTGCCTTTAGCTAAATCTTTTACTGTCTCTTGTAATTCAGCTTGGATCCTTGTCAGTTGGTCCACGCACTGAAAAAAAAAAAGCATTCAGGAAAAAAAGCATTAGTATGGCTTTCTTTTTTGTATCCAAATATCATCATCATCTTATTGCTCTTAATTACATTTTATATGGAGCAACGCAGTCTCCAAGTCACTCCTGGTCAATTATTCACATCTTTCTCTTAAAGCTGATTGGAACATAAAACTATATTTCTTTCTTTCTTTCTGCTGCTGTTTAACTATTCAAATTAAACAAAAACTTGCAAATTAAACATAAAGACTTGAAAGCTTTGGATGAGGTAATTCACTGAAATAATTGGAATACAACTGGGAAAAATCCAAAGGCAATCTTCTGGAGGTGATACAAACAATGATTAATTTTTCCTCCTTTGAAATTTAAACACCAAGATAAAAGCAACCAGGTAAAACACAACAGCAACAAGAATAATCAGATAAACATTATTTTAAGAGCTTATTTTTCTTAACCTACTTCTAGAGCCTTCCAGCAAATGGGGTTGTATCAGAAATCAGTGTCATTCACAAAGAAAACTTAGAGGCTTAAAATCCATAGCAAGCTAGTCAAGAAGGGAAAATAATTGCATCCATTTTCCATATGACTCAATGAGTGTGGAAACATTTATTTTAATATATAAAAAAATAAATTCAAAGGAATAGCAGAAAAAATACTGTAATGATTTTGGCTGGGAGAGTGTTAATTTTCTACATAGTAGCTGGTGTGGTGCTATGTGGTTTGGATCTGTGACCAGTGAGGTGTTCACAACATAGGGCTGCTTTAGTTATTGCTGAGCTGGGCTTACCCAGTCCTAAGGTCTTCTCTGTTCCTCCTGCTGCCCTGCAGTGGGTGGGCGGGGGTCCTGCCCTTGGGTCACAACAACCCCTGCAGCCCTCCAGGCTGGGGCAGATCACCTGGAAAGTGCCTGCTGGAAAAGACCCTGGGGGGGTTAGTGGGCAGGCAGCTGTAAATGAGGCAGCATGTG